ATTATAGTTTGTATATTTTCATCTTCCATTATCCTATCACGACTTATATTAGTTTTAATCGGCCAATTTTCAATTGTCTTCCCTAAGAAAATTATATCTGGAATTAAAATTTTAACAAATTTATTCCAAATTTTACTCAGTCCCTTTAACCAATAGCTATTAATTACACATTTTGATTTTGCTTTATCTAAAAACCATGTTGAGCCAAATCTCTTGATGTCTTTTAATTCTAAATCTCTCCAATGACTATCTTCACCTTTAAATATTTTTACCACAGTCCGAATAGCATAAACCCAATAATAACTGAGTAGTTTGGGGATTCCTAATCCACCTTCCTTTTGATTTTGATACCACATTTTCTTCACTAATCTAGGTCTTTTCCCACCATTGCAAAATTTATCCAATTTCTTCTGATATCCTTCAATATCTTTCTCTGTCAAGTTTAACGGTAACATCTCAAATAAAAAATTAAACTTTGGCAACAATATCATCTTACACATTGCAATTCTACCAAACCAAGACAACTTTATCATTTTATATTTATCTATCTTTTTCTCAATTTCATTCATCACCACATCATAATTTAGTTTTTTCATTTCTTTAACTTTGAGTGAAAGTGTTATGCCCAAATATTTCAATGTTTTTTTAATCCTTATCCCAAATTGTTCTTGCATATTCTCCCACTCCTTACCATTATTATTCATTAATAGTTCATCATTTCTTTTTTTATGTTCATTGAGATAGAATGGATCTAATTACAGATAGTCCTCCACTTATAACCATAACAGCCCAAACTTTCTGTTGCTAAGTGACACATTTGTTAAGTCAGTGTTGCCCCATTTTACGACCTTTCTTGCCAGAGTTGTTATGCTAATCATTGCAGTTGTAAAGTTAGCAACAGGATTGTTAAGTGAATCTGGCTTCCCTCTTGACATTGGTTATCAGAAAGTCACAAAAAGGTGAACACATGATTCTGGGACTCTGCAACTGTCATAAGTACATTGTCAAGTATCTGAAATCTGATCACATGTCCATGGGGATGCTGCGTTGGTTGTAAGTATAAAAAACAGTCATAAATTACTTTTTTCATTGCTGTTGTATCCTTGGTCACTAAACAAACTGATGTAAATCAAGGACTACCTACACATACGAAAGGAGACAAGGTTTCAACTCCATGCTTGTGGAGGTGGAACATCTTTGACTTGATTTTTTTCAAAGTCTCACCCACCCGCATCACAAAGATAGACTGACAGCCTCTTTTTTCATAATATTCCTAAGGCTAAGATGTGACCCAGGTAGCAAAGGAACTATTGAAAGTTTTAAATGCATTTTATTATAGTGATTGTTTCATGCTGGTACACCATCAGCATTGATAACCCCTCATTTAAGCAAATTTTGTGGTTGCTCCAATATAATTTACTTACAAGTCCATGGCTGTTTTTCTAAATCAATGTTTTGCCAATTTGCAACTTTCACATTTGCGGACTTCAATTCACAGAATTAGCTGGGGAATTCTGGGAGTTAAAGTCCACACATCTTAAAGTTGCCAAGTGGGAAAAGCACTGTTCTAAATATAGCTAAATTCAACTACATTGTATGCAAAATGGACAGATGACCGATTGATAAGTCCAGTCTATGTAATGATTTGTTTTTTCTACTCTGTAAACTGTTATTTTTGTACTATTAACTTTTATTTTCTACTAGTATTTGACCACAATACTTGAATCCCCATAATTTACCTTCATCTCCTTCACAGTCTATGAATGCTCTGATTTTAAAGTAATATTTGTGTCTTAAACCAGATTGAAAATTTTAGATATGGAGAATATCTTAATTTCCCCTTTGAGAAAAAAACCTGTATAATTTAATTTTAAATTTCTTTTAATATTTTAAAGTATTTTACTTGATTTTCATAAAATGATTGGTATTCATTATCTGTCTGCAGGGTGTGGTGGCTTACATGATTAGGATGCTGGGCTGGAGGTTAGGAAGCTTACGTCCAAGACCCAAGTGACAGGGTAAGCTTCCGTCATTTGCTTCAGCTCCTTGATGGGAATATGAAAGGCACCCCAATGGACATCCCCCCCAACCTACCCGGAAAATGGTGATGTCACTAACTAATTCTTTCAAACTGGAAGCACCTTAAATAGTGCCTCTGACACAAATGGGGGCTTCCTTGCCGGCTAATGCTTTGAGTCCCAGTTCAAAGTATTAGTGGTCACCAGTAAATTCAGAAGTCTTTTCCAATATTGGTCAACTTAAGTTTTTTGAGACGCATCTGATGCTTACATCACAGGTTTTTGAAGCTTCAGCAAAATCCTTCAGCTAACACAATGAAATTTTTTTTTCTCACCTCACATTTTGGGAGGTGCCTGTTCCTGAAACTTGTCTACACCAGGTTTTAAAGTTAAGCCAAAACTGTAAGGAGTTCTGTGGTTCACAAAATCTCTCACCACACCCCAGGGATTACATTTACACCTATGTTTTAGGTTGTAATCCCCCTCCCAAACTGCTAATGATGGAATTTGGAGTTCCTGACTCCCTATGCTAAGCAGAATCATGCTTTTACCCTTTGCCTTTCTTGTAAGAAACTTTCCAGAGTCTGGTCCAGTGGTGAAATCCAATTTTTTTTACTACCAGTTCTGTGGGCATGGCTTTGTGGGCATGGTGTGGCTTTGTGGGCGTGGCAGTGGAAGGATACTGCAAAATCCCCATTCCCACTCCACTCTGGGGCCAGCCAGAGGTGGTATTTGCTGGTTCTCCGAACTACTCAAAATTTCTGCTACCGGTTCTCCAGAACCTGTCAGAACCTGTTGGATTTCACCCCTGGTCTGCTCCCATATTCCTAGCTCAGATATGAGATATTCCCCTTCTTTCTTTCTCATCCAGATCAAAACTCGCTGCAGCCAACTGGCCACAGCTAATTTATTGTGGGACAATTGGCCATGGCCAACTTTCCTCAGGACAACTTGCCACGGGATAGGAGCTACACTGATATAGAAGAAATGGTGGAATAGAATAAGGAATGCAAAAAGAGGGGCAAAATAAAATGTGAATGACAAAAATTAACTTTTTAAAAATTATTTTAACTAATTAAATTGAATTGTTTTTTTTTTATTAAAGAGTTTTACAAAAAAATTTTTTTTTACAAATATTTCCCCCTCCCCCTCCCTTCCTTACCCTCCCTCTCCCACCCCCACCCCCCGAACTTCCCAGAACAAAATACAGGGTATAACAATTAACAATCATATACTAAACTAAGCTAACTATCTATGGACTCCTATTCCCCCCCTTCACACTTTAACTCCCCTTTTACTTAACTAAATATGAATACTCTTAATTTTTCCATTCATTCATAAGCTATTTGATACTTTTTAGTCTGATATTTGTTTTGAATATAGTCAATCCATCTTCTCCATTCCGATATATATCTTTTTTGTGAATAATCTTTCAAATATGCTGAAATTTTGGCCATTTCTGCTAAATTCTCTACTTTTAATGTCCATTCTTCAATATTAGGCAGATCTTCCTTCTTCCAATATTGCGCCACCAAAAGTCTAGCTGCAGTTATTAAGTTTAAAATCAATTTAGTCTCTATAACCATATAATCTGTAATTATACCCAACAAAAACAACTGTGGAGTAAACCTTATCTTCTTTTTAAGAATATTTTGGATAATCCACCATATTTTAATCCAAAATGCTTTAACTTTTTTACAAGTCCACCATATATGATAATAGGTGGCATCATCACAATTGCCTCTCCAACACTTAGATTGCAAATTCGGATACATAGAAGCTAACTTTTTAGGATCTAAATGCCATCTGTAAAAGATTTTATAAAAATTTTCTCTTAAATTTTGCGCTTGCATAAATTTCACATTTCTACCCCATATTTTTTCCCACGTTTCCATCATTATTGGTTCCTAATTAAATTGAATTATTGAATTATCCCGCAACAAGTTATTGTTTTGGCTGTAGCGAGCAGGCAGCAGTGAGTTAGCCATGGCAAGTTGTCCATGGCGAATTGTCCCATTCCCCATATATTCTCTGCCTCCCAAGTCCCAGCTGATCGGGAGAAAATGGAGATTTTGCAATAACCTTCCCCTGGAGTGGGGAGGGAATGGAGATTTTACAATATCCTTCCCCTGCCACGCCCACCAAGCCACACCCTCCAAGCAATGCAACGCCCACCAAGCCAAACCCACAGAACCAGTAGTAAAAAATTTTGAAACCCACCACTGAACAAGAAGTGCTGGCACAGATGTTTTTCTTGGAAGCAGGATGCACCCAGAGGAAGTTGGACATGAACCATTTTCATATAAGAACATTCACCCCACCCATGGTTTTGACCCTGCTGCTCTGAAGAAGATGTGTGGAGAGGATGAGAGAGGGAAGAATAGGAGTCACTTTGGATAGTGAGATAGCTGCCATATCAATTTAATAAATATACAAAATATTGTAAGGCTATGTCCAATGCTGCATCAGTTTATTTCTGGGGCATTAAAGTCAGGGGTGGGTTCTATTTACCTTTACTACCGGTTCGCAACAGGATTGTGTGTGCGCGCTCGCTTCGTTCACACATGCGCCTTGCTTCTGCGCATGCACAGATTGCCGATGATGACATCTGGGGTGGTGGGTGTGGCCTCCTGACGATTTTACTACCGGTTCTTGTGAACCGGTCCAAACTGGGGGCAACCCACCACTGATTAAAGTAGCATGTCTCAAGCAGATTTTTGGAAGACTGCTAAATATATGTTGAAAATGCCATCTGTAGCTTCAGTCTTGGATCATATAAGGTTTTTATTTTGTAGGTGGGTAACCCTAATTCATGAGGGCAGGAGAAGAGAGGAGAAAGGAAGAGGGGAGAACATCTCCTTTGCTGTTGGCCATGAGGGCCGGAGAATTGAAAACAAATTGACTCCGATTTCTTCCTTCTGAGAGTGGAAGTGGGACACCTGAGTATCCAGGAGAAAAGAAATCCCAAAGTACAATGAAAAATAAGGTATTTCAATAGCTTTTTTTTATTGAACACACCAAACGACACATGCAGGTGCTAATTACATTATTCTCCAGAGTGAAGACTTACAGCTCAGTGCGGAAGACCAGGCCACTGCCTGCTAATAACTGGGAAGAGATTTCATCTATCTTTTCGTTTTGAGCCACAGTAAAGTGTTCCTTCCAGTTTCCTACAACACCTATAGGTGGGAAACAATCCAAGAAAACAAAATCAGTAATTTCTGTTTCCTGAGCTCTTTTACAACTATTTTAATAGTTCAGCAATGGAGTGTGCATTCTTCTTTGTTTCAGAGGATCCTTCCAGATGACAGCTTGGAACCTCTAGATCAGTGATGGCTAACCTTTTGGCCATTGCGTGCCAAAACTGAGGGAAGCACGGGGGGTTGCCCTCGCGCGTGCCTACACCCATAATTCTATGCGCCCCCCCGCACATGCGCATGCGATTCCCCCCCCACTATTGGCAGGTGATGGCACAGTGGGCCCAGTAGGCCCGTTTTTCACCCTCCCCAGGCTCCAGAGACTTTCTAGGAGCCTGGGGAGGGCGAAAACGGCCTTCCCAACCCCCCAGAGGCCTTCTGGATGCTGGAAATGGCCCATTTCCCAACTTCCAGTGGGCCCAGAAGGCCTGAAAATCAGCTGGAGGAGCTGAGCTCGCGTGCCCACCAATATGGCTCCATGTGCCACCTGTGGCACGTGTGACATAGGTTCGCCATCTTGGCTCTAGATCATGTAGTACCACTGAAACAACCTGTTCCCAAAGGGATTGAAGGGAGGCTATGTGGAAAGGAGGATTACAAGTAGAACACTGGATCCACATGCCAGTACAGATTGTTAGCGAAGTACAGGTAGTCTTCAATTTATGTCAGCAATGGAGCCTGCTCTTTAAGGTCACAAGTCTTGATGGTGGTAAAGTAGGCTGATCATGTGACTGACTCAATTTTATGATCTTTTTTGCAACAATCATTAAGTAGCCATAATTGTTGTAAAGCAAATGCAATGGTTATTAAGCAAACACATCAGTCATTAAGTGAACCAGTTGTTTGCTATGGGTATGGTTTTGCCAAAAAACAGAAATAAATACCAGTTTTTGGCAAAATGCTGTAAAGTGGCCATGTGACCATGGAATGCTTAAATGGCCATAAATATGGCTTGCTAGCCCGAAGTTCAGTCATGTGATTGTGGGGGGAGGATGACTCCTGACCATCATGTCAGAAGAATAATTTGGGGTTCCAACTCGAGCCGGGCTGTGCAAGAATAAATAAAAGTAAGATCCAGAGAGCTATGAGGAAAGAAGAAATATTTATTTGTAAAAGCAAAACAGTTTGCATTTAGGGACAGGCTGCAGAGAAATGGAGTACAGCAGCAGATTATTATAGAGGAAATTTGTCCAGGGTAAAGTCTCTACGTGCTGATTCTAGGATGACACTTGAGGAGTCTCCCTCTGTGTGTGTGTGTGTGTGTGTGTGTGTGTGTGTGTGTGTGTGTGTGTTCTTGCAAATATGCAGTTCCTCTGCGAGACCTAATTTAATTAATTTTGTGTTTGCAGACTTTATCCTTTTGTGGATTTCATCTGGGAAATTTATTTTGGGGTTTGAGGAAGTTTGCTAATTTGATTAACTTGGAGACACTGATTCTCAGACTATTGTGGATCCTGTTAATACTTTAAGGGAAGATGGAAACAGTATAAAGAATATAATATATTTGTATATAAAACTTCTTACAATGAGAACGTCGAATCTGGGTCACAAGTAGCCCAGGTAAGTCCATCATAACTTTGAACAGTCACTAAACAATTGGTCCTATGGTTGGAACTATGTACAGTACTTATCTGTATTGAGATGTTTCAGAGCAGAGCCATTCTGAATTCTGTCTCTAAAATGTCTTCCCCTCTAAAACTGCAACTGAGTGCTTTTCTTCACCATGGACCCCTTTAAATACCTTTTGTGGCCACGATTTGGGGCCATGTAGCCTTAAGATACAAATCATAACATTTCTTCAAGCCTTCACAGACCCCCTGTGATTGCGGTTCCCCAGACCTGTGACTGCGGTCCCCCAGGGATCCGCCGACCACAAGTTGAGAATCCCTGTGCTAGTGAATTAAGCATAAGAGGTTCAACATTTTCTCTACTGGAAGAGATCTCTGGAAGGAATAGGTGATACATGCTCAATAGCAGTAACTGTGAGAGGGATCTAGAAGTCCTAGTGGACAATCACTTAAATATGAGCCAGCAGTGTGCGGGCAGCAGCCAAAATAGCCAATGCAGTCTTAGGCTGCATTAACAGAGGGATACAATCAAGATCACATGAAGTGTGCATACCACTTTATTACTCCTTGATAGGACCACAGTTGGAATATTGCATCCAGTTTTGGTCAGCATAATATAAAAAAGAAGTAGAGACTCTAGAAAAAGTGCAGAGAAGAGCAACAAAGATATTTAGGGGACTGAAGGCTAAAACATATGAAGAACAGTTGCTGGAATTGGTATGTCTCTAGTCTAATGAAAAGAAGGACTAGGGGTGACATCATAACAGTATTTCAATATCTAGGAGGTTGCCCCAAAGAAGAGGGAATCAAGCTATTTTCCAAAGCACCTGAAGGACAAGAAGCAATGGGCGGAAACTAATAAAGGAGAGATAGAAATAAGGAGAAATTTCGTGACAGTGAAAAAAATTACTTAGTAGAAAAGCTTGCTTTCACAAATATCTATGGAGATTCTTAATCATCCAGATTATGACTGTGCCAAAGGTGCTTTTCAAAAGGCAAAAGTGATGGAGCACCCACAACTCCTGTCTTGGTTTTCTTTCAAAACATTTTGCTTCTCATTCAAGAAGCTTTAGAACTGAAGAAACATCTTGGATGGGAAGCGAAATGCTTTGGAAAAAAAAAATCAAGAAAATCCAGTTGCCTTTTGAAAAACATCTTTGGAACTTGCCTTCAGAACTTGTGGGTGCGCCATCATTGTAGGTTTTTAAGAAGAGACCGGATAGCCATTTGTCTGAAATGATATAGGGGCTCCTGCACGAGCAGGGGTTTAGACAGCTCCCCAATCTTTCCAGCTTTGCAGACCAGAGGGTTGGGGAGAACAGCGCACGTGTGCACAGCTCTATTTATAAATGGAGCGCATGTACACATTCACATTCACTCATTGCTCGTGCAACTGGGGATACACACATATGAACCTGCCTGCTAGTTCCATGGCCTGGTTGTGAACAGCTCATGGCCCAGTAGTGGGCCAGGGTCTGGAGGATGGGGATCCCTGGATTAGAAGACCTCCGAGATTGCTTCCAATTCTGTTATACTGTTAACTAACATCCTAGCTACCGTCTAGAACAAAAGATTAAACTTTTTACCTTCTTTCCAGAAAAAGAAATCACAAATTGTGACTGCCATCTAAGGCACCAAATAGAAAAAACTCTTGCGCGATTTGAAACTTGAAACTTTTTTATATGATCCACATCTATTCTTCCCAACCATTCTTCCCAATCATTTCCTCCTATCCATTGTTGCATCATCTGTGATTGAAACAACACTAATGGTAAAATATATAAGGTAAAATCCTGATAATCATGTACGACCAATTGTTTCATTTCTGCAAATTCATGTATGCTGCTAAATTAAACAATTAAAAATGAAAATATACCCTAAATGCTATATCTAGAGCATTTTTGAACACACCAAACTAATTACTACCACTTTCTGTGGGGATTGTTCTGTTCTGAAATGATTAGATTTGCAAATTGCCCAATCTACACACTATTCACTAATCACAACTATTCTGAAATCAATGCCTGTGCTTTGTGCTTGGTTTTTTGCCAGTATTCCTGAGACCTTCACCAGCCCCTCCTATTGAATGCAGTTAAAATTCAGCTTCAGTTCTGACCCTCACCTTTTCTCATGAATGGGGACAAAGCTTGGTTCATCACGAAGTCAGGCAGAGTGAGGTAATTGGCCATGGGGTTCTCTTTCATAGTTTCAAACTTTGTATGTTCAGTGATCTCCTCCAGAATTGGATCTGGGAGTTCAACGTTGAGGAAGTGAGCGACCTTCAGGATTTCTCTGGTTGGATCCTAGTACAAATATGGAGAGAATTTTGGCTATGTTTTGATGCTTTCTTGGCTGAAATAGTTAGAAAATGGAGTCAGGAGGCAATCGACAATAAGCTCTGAGATCCAACAAAACGGGCATTTTTGTAGCTCATCTTCAGCGCCTGCCCAGAGTACCTTGTTTAAATTTTCTCTTGTAATCATTTGTATTTTATCTATATCTGCCCATGTTATACCATATATAGCACTGGTTTCTAGTTTCTTTCCGGGTGTAGTTCAAAATGCTGATTATCATCTCTAAAACCCTGCATGCTACAGAACCAGTTTATCTATGGGAGCAGCTTTCTAACCATCATGCCCAATAGGATGGGTCTATCCAGAGGTGGGATTCAAGTAATTTAACAACCGGTTCTCTGCCCTAATGATTTCTTCCAACAACCAGTTTGCCAAACTGCTCAGAAAGTTAACAACCGATTCTCCCGAAGTGGTGCGAACTGGCTGAATCCCACCACTGGGTCTATCCAGATCCCTTCCCTTAAATGTTATTTAGGGGGACCAGGAAGCACGCCCTAGGAAGCAGCCCCACCCACCCACCCAAGATCTGACAGCCCTCACCCTCAACCTTTCTGGAAGACTTAAAATGCTGGTCTTCCTTCCCTCCCCAGGTACGAGTCTGCTTATGGTTTCTTATATATTGCAGACTGTTGGTTTAGGAGACTGGAATTTATGTTTTTTATTGTTTTGAAGTTTTGAAAATGTTCTTGTTACTGTTGTTGAGAGCTACCAAGAGCTATGGCTCTAAGATGGGCTGCCATATAACTCTCCAAAATAAATAAAATAGCTTTCAGTGCTATTTTTTCCTTAGGCCCTACAGTACACCTTGTATTGTTATCCATTATCTCATGTTTGAAATTTGTTTGGTGCAAATATATTCTATGTTTATGTGCACAGGCTTAAGCAGCTTACTTCTTTTATGTCTTCATAAAAGAGATACAGGATTGGGTGACGATCCTTAGCCTCCCACCAGCCTTGGACATGCTCAAACCAAGAGCCCCAGGCAACTGCGATAGAAAAAAAATGACAAGAGAATCTTGATTTACCTCCCTTTCCTTTCTGCTTCATAACTCTAGGCCTGTGATAGGGAATCTATAACACGCGTGCCAGAGGTGGCACGCAGAGCCCTCTCTGCTGGCACGCGCACCGTCACCTCAGGTCAGATCTCTGTGGCGTTTCTTTCATGAGCGTCTGTTTCCCTGCAAACGACAAAACAGAAGCTCACAAAAGAAAAAGATCTTACCTCTTGCCGCGCTGCCAGTGTTGGGATGCCCCGCCTCCCGCTGGCCAGCTGGTCTTTGGGTCTCTGCTGCGCATGCACGCATGTTAGCACATGTGTGCCCGCATATCTGCATGTGGACTTCCACGCACATGTCCACACATGCACACATGTCTGCGCATTCGTGCATGCACAGCTTTCAGTTTGGGCATGCATGCACCAGAGGTGGGTTTCAGCAGGTTCTGACCAGTTCTGGAGAACCGGTAGTGGAAATTTTGAGTAGTTCGGAGAACTGGTAGTAAAAATTCTGACTGGCCCCGCCCCCATCTATTCTCTGCCTCTCAAATCCCAGCTGATCGGGAGGAAATGGGGATTTTGCAGTAACCTTCCCCTGGAATGGGGTGGGAATGGAGATTTTACAGTATCCTTCCCCTGCCACGCCCACCAAGCCATGCGACACCCACCAAGCCACACCCACAGAACCAGTAGTAAATTTTTTTGAAACCCACCACTGGCATGCGCATGCAGTTTGGGCACTCAGTGTCTAAAAGGTTCACCATCACTGCTCTAGGCTCTACCAGCTTTCCCCTCAAAATGGCTTTTATGGGTGTTGAACTATCCTGGTTGGAAATGATAGGAACTATAGTTCTTGGAGAAACGACGGCACACAGCTTCTCAGATTTAAGGGGGGGAAATCATTAACAATTTTTTCCCCCCAGCATCACAAAATTATCTTTGGCACAGGGAGATCCATACTTCTTTTTCAAGAGTAGTTTGGTAGCTATACCAGGGGTAAAATTCAGCAGGTTCTGACAGGTTCTGGAGAATTGGTAGCAGAAATTTTGAGTAGTTTGGAGAACCGGCAAATACCACCTCTGGCTGGCCCCAGAGTGGGGTGGGAATGGAGATTTTGCAATATCCTTCCCCCAGGAGTGGGGAGGGAATGGGGATTTTGCAGTATCCTTCTCCTGGAGTGGGGTGGGAATGGAGATTTTGCAGTATTCTTCCCCTGCCATGCCCACCAAGCCACGCCCACCAAGCCACACCACACCACACCACACCACGGCCACCAAACCACACCCACAGAACCGGTAGTAAAACAATTTGAATTTCACCACTGAGCTATACTTCATGTTTTCTGTAAGCCCGATGGTGACTGTCATCCAGAGTCTTCTAGTGGTGAGATGGGTGGCAAGTAAATTTAATAAACAAAGAAATTGATGGTGATGGCATGATGATGGCATATTACTGCTAAGAATTCAGCAAGCAATCAGTTCTGACATGCTTTTCATTCCTATTATTTCTGCAGCTTCCATTTACTCTTTCCTGTAAGGAAGCTCTTTAAAAACTGATCCCAGTTCCCTGGATCCGGCAACCCCTGATTCATGCGGTGAAAATGGAAATAAGAAACAATGGTGTCTTTAACATTTCTAGCTACATAAATGACCTACAGAAAGGACAGAAAATCATAAAGACATAGTGTTATCTAGTTAGGGTAACGAAACATCTGCAAGAAAAGAAGCAAGTTCAGAGAGCAGCAAGGACCTCTAGCAGGGGTGAAATGTTTTTCTACAACTTCTTCGACCGAAGAAAAAATGCTTTTAAAAGAAAGAAAAAAAGCCTCTGATGATCGCGCTGCTCAGCTGGGATCATCAAAGGCTTTTAAAAGCATTTTTTCTACAACATCTTCAGCCAAAGAGGTTGTAAAAAAATGCTTTTAAAAGCCTCTGATGATCCCAGCTGAGTTGCCTGATCGGCAGAGGCTTTTTTTCTTTTAAAAACATTTTTTCTACAACTCTTCAGCCGAAGAGGTTCTAAAAAATGCTTTTAAAAGCCTCTGACGATCCCAGCTGAGTTAAAAGAACCTGAAGAGGTTGTAGAAAAAATGGTTTTAAAAGTTAAAAAAAAGGTTGGCCACGCCCACCCAGTCATATTACCCCACCATCACCAAGCCATGCCCACAGAACCAGTAGTAACAAATTTTAGATTTCAGACTGACCTCTAGGATAAGCTTTTCATATTCATGCATACATATATCTGTGTGGTTTCTAAGAGTTGACATAGACTTGATGGCAAATAGTCAAATCATAGACATACATCTTCACACAAACACACATCTAGCTCTGTCTTATTCCTATCTCTGCCTTTTTTCCAGCACATAAAATGATCCTAATCTGTCCAAGCTCCAAACTCTCATCTACTGAGTTCAACCTATTAAGCCTTTCATTTTTATGTTCCTACATATCTTCTTCTTATGATCAAATATGCTCTTGGTTTAATTTAGGAAGCTGAAAAAAGGTACCGAGGCTGAATTCAGATGAGAATTAAGATTTGCTTCCCCATGTAATGGGAAGAAGGAATGATCTTGAAGATAGGAGGAAGATCCTCTACCAAGATATTGGTCAGATAAAAGAAATATGAGTTTGGACCAGAACTGTAACCTAAGAAAACATTTCAGACAAGACTGTCCCTAATTCTCATGAAGATAAAGGAAGTGCATTCAGACTTGCAAGATATTTATTTATTCAATTTATTTATTCAATATTGATACCATAACCCTATAATAAAAGTAGGCTTGGCCTGCATGACTTTTGTTTCCTTATTAGGTCTACCTTGAAAAACTGAGATTCCAGAAACAATCAAAAGTTTCAAAATCCAAAAAGGTACAAGACAAGGATGCCCATTATCGCTGTTGTTGTTTGTATTATCGTTAGAGGTACTGACTAGAATAATCGGGAAAGACAAACAAATTAAAGGTTTAGAAATCAAGAAAGAAAAATTTAAAGTACAGGCTTTTGCAGATGACCTGGTCTTTATTATAGAAGAGCCATTTCAGTCTGGTGTGAGGCTAATGGAAGTACTGGGAGAATATGGTGAAGTAGCAGGTCTGAGGATAAATAAGGAGAAAACTAAAATGTTAGTCAAGAATATGACTAAATCATTTTTAAAAATTCTAGACTGTGCAGAAATGAATAGATTAACTTTGATGATTAAAGAAAGAGGATTCAGAATATTTTAAGATATGGGATCAATATAGCTCTGGATAGCTCTGCAGACAAGACACTGTAATTTAACACCAGCTGTCTGCAATTAAAGTAAGTTCGAATCTTGCCAGGCTCAAGGTTGACTCAGCCTTCCATTCTTTCTAAGGTAGGTAAATTGAGGACCCAGTTTGTGGGGGCCATAAGCTGACTTTGTATAAAATATACAAAAGTATGAAGGCTATTGCTTAATGCACTGTAAGCTGCCCTGAGTCTCCGGAGAACGGCAGCATATAAATCAAATTTTTTAAAAAAATTATCGTTGGTTAGAAAAGAGATATAGATAAGTAAATCAATAGCTATGTAAAAAATGGTATGATTAGAATATTGTACTTTTGGAGATATGTTGTAATAGATTGGATGATAATGAAGACAGAAGAATCTGCAAAAAAATGACGTTATGGAGGAAACCAAGATGTCGCATGGAAAAAATGACTGATGTATTAAATATTTGTTTGTATATAAAATAAAAAACTTTTTTTTAAAAAAAGAATATGATTAAATCGCAAGAAAATGAATTGACTGGGTGAATTAACATTCAGACAACAAAGAAAGTGAGATATCCAGGAATTTAAATAATGGCAAAATGTGTTACACTCAAAGGGGATAATCATGATAAATTAATTGATCAAATCAAGGTGGACCTGGATAGGTGGAAAAAATTGCAACTCTCCCTTATGGGAAGAATTGCAACAGTAAAGATGCACGTACTACCAAAAATACTTTTTTTATTTCAATATATACCGATAAGATTAGAAAAGAAGTTTTTTTGAAATTTAAATAAAATGATATCTAATTTATTTGGCAAGGGAAGAAACCAAGAATTAAATTAAAATTATTACAGACGCAAAGGAAAGAGGGGGATTTGGCCTTCCAGATTGGGAAAAATATTTTCTTTTTTTTAAAAAAGAAAGAAAAACTGAGATTCTATCAACAGTTGTTCTAACCTTGCAATTCTGTTCCCAGAAGGAAGGTGGTAGAAGCTGGACTGGGAGGTGAGATTTCAGGGTGCGCGGGGAAGGCATTTCTTCTGCCATTTCCAAACCTGCAACACGGGAGGTGGGGGTGGAGACAGATGGACATAATTCAGGCTCATGGAAAGGAAAACCTTTCCCATCACCTCCATGAAGCAGTACCTTGCTACTCACCTGAAGATATGGGTTTCATAGGAAACAAATCTATGAAGGGAATCCGTTTATATATGGGAGCCCTTGCACATTTCTGTTTGTCTCCTCCATGCTGCACCATGTCCACTATTTCTTGCATCCAGGTAGTCCCTGATATGAGGAATGAAGAGAACAGATAGATTGATCTAGAGATTGGGCTCCTGTTCCTTGTTTAATTTAAGCTTTGCATCTCTCCCCCCAGCCCCCCAATTTTCCATCATGCTCTTCCATGTCTCCTCCCCACTTACCTGCTTTGGGATAAGTGCAAATGAGAAGGTCATCAGGCTGGGCTTTAAAATTCCTTAAGAGCTCCAGGTTTGCAGCAGTATTATCAAGTAAAAAGGTTCCTTCAACTTCCACCAGCTTTGAGCGTTTGACTAATTTAGGATCAAGCTGTTCCAATGCTTTTCTTAAATACTCCATGATTGAGTGGAGAAGGGACCTTGTAAGAGGAAGACCTGCAGAGATGTGATGACAAATCTTTGGGATTTAGTATTCCAGTTTTGCAAAGATTCTGCTCCAGAGTTCCTTATGAATGAGAGTCAAGTTTTCTTCCTGCATTATATAAATTCATGTCTGTCTCCACCCACTTCTCTTTTGTTTCCTAAAATTTCTGCAAGAACTGGAAATTTGATGAAGTGCAAACTTTTTAGGTAGCAGAGACTTGGGAAATGTTTTCCTCAATTAGTTTGCATCTTGTGAGATGGATTGGGCTTAGAGAGCCCTATCCTAACCCAAAGCCACTTATCACCTTTTACACCTGAAAAAGAATTACAACTCATGATCTTCCTGTTTCTAGCCCAATATTTTAACCATTACACCGAATTATCTGTGCTTTTGATCCTAAAACTTTGTTTCTTATTTTCTTACTGCCTTTGTTAAGGGAGAATTCTCTGATCACTTAGGTCTATACTTCTTAAAACAGCTTCTATCTTATTTAATACACAATTCTTTATACTGTACCTATGTCAGTGGCCCGACTAGTGGACCAAAGAAAAGTAGACACTCTCAGGAACTGCTAAATCTCAAAAGTAAAATGTTATTGGCTACACCAAGAATCAGAACCAACTCTGTTTTTTCCTCTACAATGCTTGTATAGTTAAACAACAGCTTCTCCTTCGCCCCACTCCGGTTTGGTCACATTGTCCAATTATGAATAGTCTGTTTTTTCAAGCACGGTTCTCTGTTGTACACCTGCAGCAGTGTCCTTAATGGGATCTTGGCTCTCACGGACTGTCTCTGGAGTATCTGCATTCTTTCACCCTTCCCTCCCCCCAATTCTTTGGCAAGTTGAATAGCAATAAGACCTAAACATTTCAAAAGCGGTTCAACCTTGACAAACTGACAAGGGGAGACCTGGAAAGATATCAAACATAGGTTAATATCATTTTTCATTTTCCTTGAGCCTTCACTCCCCCTCCTGGTTTTCATGGGTGTTTAGCATGGAATCTTCTCACTAACCTATCAGTGTTAACATCCTCTTCTTTCAACCACTCTGCTTCTGACATCGGGTACCCCTTCCATTGTACCAGATATTGCAATTTCCCTTCATAGTACCTTGAATCTAGAATTCTATTAATTTCATAGTGCTTCTCTCCTCTCACCCAAATAGAGGGTGGTAGTTCCTTTCCAACTGGTCTCAAGTTAGAGCCTTTAACAAGCTTCAACAAACTGTGGTGGAACCCCTTCCCTAATATTTTCTGCAGTTTTAATTCCCCTGTGACCAGGTTGATGATGCACAAACGGGGAAAGGACCTATGAATTTAGGACTCAGTTTTTGTCACGAGTGTTTCCAGGATTGCTGTGGCTACTTGCCTACTCACAAACAAGTATGGCTTCAATCAAGCCATCTCCTGTTTGTAATTACCTGCAAGCCTTCCCCGCCCTAGTTAATTGCAGGTTAACTCCCCATATAAGCAAGGACCTTTTCGCTTGCTACTTGGGCCTAGACTCCTGGTTTAGGCCTAAATGCACAGCTCCTGCAGGAAGCTTAGTGCAATGCCGCAGATGGGAGAAGAATGCAGATAAGGACTCCAGACGCTGTTGCAGAGAAACTCCCACGGATGCTTGCCTTTTGCTGTTTTGTAGCACGCAAGCTATCATCGGGACTGCTGTTGCTGGATCTTTTTCCTCCCACAAGCTTCAAGCAATGTTTGCTGTTTGAACTGTTTTTACTTCAGGTGACTTTTAGCTGTGATGTTTGTGCTGCCCCCATTTTGATTGCCTTGATGATGTATCGACGCCGAAGCTGCTTACCTTCATGCTAGCTTTATTCTCTTGTGAACTGTTTCGGTATTGTGGAGAGGGATCTAGGGAGATAGCCTTGCTTCACATACCCAGATAAGACTTTGTTTTTAATGTGCTTTCTTAAAGACATAGTGCTTTTTAAATGTTTTAAAGTAAATTATATTTTTACACAAGACGCCTCTGTCAGAATTATTTCAGTCTCAGTGTGTTTACTCATGAGCTGGTTCACGGTCCAGGGTACCCCTCAACCCCATTTCATAACAGTTTTTTATAGGGTTGCCTTAATTTCAAGTACTGCATGGATAAATATATTTCATCCCCGATCTTAAACTCTCTCTGGGGAGGCCTCTTCCAATCTGCTTGTTTCCTTTGTGACTCTCCCGCCTTCACTAAAGCTTTCTGCACATTTCCCCAAGTGTTTCTTCAGGTGTCCATTCACTCCATTAGGGTTACTGAGGAGGGAGGTTCCCTTGGAAGCGCTGGCATGGGCACAAACTCTATTCCTGTAGCCACATTGAATGGAGTGAACCCAGTGCTGCTGTGAACTGAGTTATTATAGACTACCTCTACAAATGGCAAGAGTTTTGCCCAGTTTGTTTGCTGATAGTTCACAAAAAAACATAAATATTGCCTGACTATTGCGTTGGCCTACTCTACTGCCCCATTAGTGCTTGGATGGAACCTGGAACTAAGTCCCTGGAAGGAACCTATTAGTTTTAAAAATTCCTGCCAGAATTTTGCAGTGAATTGCAACCCCCCCCATTGCAGATGTGTATTTTGGAACTCCATGCAGCTGGTAGATATGTTGTGCGAACAGTTTAGCTAGGTTCTGAGCTGATGGAAGCTTGGGGAACACAATGAAGTGGGCTTGCTTTGAAAATAAATTGACCATGGTCCAAATCACTCTGCTTCTCACACTCTCCAGCAGTTCCACAATGAAGTCCATAGTGATCTCTTCCCATGGTTGGCTAGGGTCAGCCATTGGCTGCAGCAACCAGGGCTCTTTCCTGGCATTCACTTCACAGATGCACACATCGGGCAGCTCATCATGTAGCTCTCTATGTCCTTCTTCATTTTAGAAGGACAGAATGGTCCTCCTGGCCAGGTGGAGGGTTTTTACAAAGCCAAAGTGGCCAGCTGATTTCACATCATGGCTTTGGTGTAAAATTTGGTGTCTCAGACTGGCTGGTACATACAGTTTGTCTCTCTTCCAGGTCAGGTTCTCCTCATTGTCATCTCATTCTGATGGGCTTGGAACCATTCATCCTCCTGTAGGGCTTTTCTCAGACAATGAGTTTAACCCCTTGCCAGGGACATGAGGAGTATCCAGTGGAAATCACCTTTCAGAGGTTTTGACTGCTAGCTGTTTAGAGCGAATGATACAGTTAACAATTTTCTCTCAGGTGCTTTAGTATTGGAGCATCCTGGAGACTGTGTTTAGGACTGGCTCTGCTGCAAACAGGCACTTGAGTTTCTCAAAAGCCTCTTGCATTCCATAGCCAGTTCAGCAGCTGACTGGGCTCTGGTTTTACTCCCCCTTTGCCCGTCTTTAGTAGTTCAGTGATTGGCAGAGTGATTTGGGTGAAAGTTGGAATAAACTGTCTATAGAAGTTGGCAAAGCCCAACTTTTGAGTTTATTTTTTATTTATTTTATTTTATTTCGAATTTATATACTGCACCTTCTCCCGAGGGACTCAGGGCAGTGTCCAGCCAGATAAAAACATACAATACAAATATTAAAAAACAATTAAAAGGATATATAGTAATTTGGCCCCAATTTAAGATAACAAACCAATTAAAAATTAAAAATATGTTAAAAAATATGTTAAGCCAGCCCGGCTTGCTGAAAAAAGAAAGTTTTAAGGGCATGGCGGAAGGCACCGAGATCTTGGATTCTCCTTATCTCTGGGGGCAGCTGATTCCAGAGGGTAGATGCCTCCACAGAGAAGCCCCCCCTGGGGGTCGCCAGCCTACATTGTTTGGCTGATGGCACCCCGAGGAGGCCCTCTCTGTAGGAGTGCACAGGTCAGTGGGAGGTCATCGGTAGCAGCAGGCGGTCTCGAAGATAACTAGGTCCTATGCCATGGAGCGCTTTAAAGGTGGTAACCAACACCTTGAAGTGCACCCGGAAGACCACTGGGAGCCAGTGGATTCACGCAGGAGCGGTGTTATGTGGGAGCACCAGGCGGCTCCCGTAATTACCCGTGCGGCCGCATTCTGGACCAGTTGGAGCCTCCGGGTGCTCCTCAAGGGGAGCCCCATGTAGAGAGCATTGCAGTAGTCGAGATGACGAGGGCGTGAGTGACTGTGCACAGGGAATCCCGATCAAGAAAGGGCCGCAACTGGCGAATCAGGCGAACCTGACAGAAGGTCCCCCTGGCTACAGCCGTCAGATGTTCCTCCAAGGACAGCTGCGTATCCAGGAGGACTCCCAGATTGCACACCCTCTCCACGGGGGCTAAAGACTCGCCCCCAATAGTTAGTGATGGAGTCAACTGACTATATCGAGATGCCGGGAGCCACAGCCACTCAGTCTTGGAAGGGTTGAGCTTGAGCCTGTTCCTCCCCATCCAGATCCACACAGCCTCCAGGCACTGGGACATCACTTCAAGGGCATCGTTGGGGTGGCCTGGGGTTGATTTCTGGTTCAAGAGGCCTCCACTCCAATATGGCTTTCACCTTCCCGGGATCCATTTCCACCCCCTCACTTGACACCTGATAGCCCAAATAATCCAGGCTAGTTTTATGAAAGTTACTTTTCAAAGTTTGGTGTAGAGTTTAGCATCTAAGAGTTTCCTCAGCACCTCACACTCTAACTTCAAATGTTCTTCCATTGTCTAAGAGTAAATGAGGATGTCATTCATGTACACTAGGACCTCTTTATATAGATGCTCATGGAGCACCTTTTTTTATTAATTTTATGACTACAGCTACTGCTTCCTGCAGTCCAAACAGCATCACCCAGAACTGGTAGCATCCCAGGAGGCAATTGAAATCTGTCTTTCACTTTAATCCTTATCTGGTAATATGTTTCCCTCAAGTCCAGCTTGGTGAATACCTTCCCTTTGGATAGGTATCCCAGCATGTCCTTCATGAGGGGAAGGGGTACATGTTCTTGATGCATATCTCATTAATTCTACGGAAATCCACACACAGCCTGATGGACCCATTCTTCTTGAAAAGTACAGGGGCTGCCACCCAGGATTTTGCT